AGGGGTCTCTGCATGCCTCTAGGAGCCCAGGGTAAGCTGAGGAGTCCCAAGCTGACCCTGAGTTCCCTGCGGCACTTCCCCGGAACCCGGGGTCAGGTGACCCCGGGCTCCACTGCCCCTTTAAAAAGGGTGGAGGTGGCAGTTTCAAAGGGGAAGCCACCGCACAGCTGATCAGCTGTGCAGCGGCTTCCCCTTTGAAACTGCCACTCTGCATGCCTCTAGGAGCCCAGGGTAAGCTGAGGAGTCCCAAGCTGACCCTGAGTTCCCTGCGGCACTTCCCCGGAACCCGGGGTCAGGTGACCCCGGGCTCCACTGCCCCTTTAAAAAGGGTGGAGGTGGCAGTTTCAAAGGGGAAGCCACCGCACAGCTGATCAGCTGTGCAGCGGCTTCCCCTTTGAAACTGCCACACTGCACCTTTCAAAGGAGCAGCTGTGGATCCCGGGGGCCTTTGAAATGGAGTCCCCGGGCTCTAGGTTGCCACTTTGAACGGTGCACAGGTGGTATTTTAAAGGCGCAGCCGATGCACCGCTGATCCGCGGATCAGCTGTGCAGCCGCTGCCCCTTTGAAAAGCTGCCTTGGGGTTTCAAAGTGGCAGCGCTGCCACTTTGAAGTACCCCTCCCCCCCCCTTTGCTTCCTCTATCTTATAGAAGCAGCAAAGGGGGGGGGGGAATATTGACTAGTCAAAATACTATCTGATAAGCAAATGCTTATCGGATAGTCGACTAATGGACTAGTCTTGTACTTCCTTAGTTCAGAGCAGCCCTCAGGGGAGTGGTGGAGGGAGGGCAACTAATATTTCTGGCCGTGGTGCAGGGAAGGTGCAGTGAGTAACTTCAAGGTCACACAGCCAGTCAGGACAAGAAGCCAGGTCTCCTGTGGGAGATCACTGCCTTGTGGGAGAGACAGCCCCATGGGACCCTTCACAGCTATTCTTGGGAAAACACTCACCTGAGTCGGCTCTGCAGATTTTTATATTTTTCCTCCAGATGCTTATTCTTAACCGTCAGGGAGATGTCGGGTACGTACCAGGCTGCAATCAGCTTGATGCACAGAGCCACATGCTGGAACGAGCAAGCAGAGCCCACCATGCAGTCAGAGCCCCAGCCTCGGGGGAGGTAGCTATGATCAGTAGCCCAGCAGCAATTAGCAAGGAGTAATAGCTGTGCTCAGATGCTTCACTGCTACATTAGCATATACCAACCACACAGGCCAATCCTGCTCCCAATCCAACTCCCATTGAAATCAATCAAGACTCCGATTGAGCACCCATTGACGTCAGTGGCAGCCAGAACACACACACTCAGTGCTGCTTCCAGGCATGGTTTCTGGGGTAATGCCTCCTCTTAAGGCCCCAAATACAGGCCACCTTGGGGGCCCCCAAACATCAACCCCCTCTCATTCCAGTCCTGGGAACGCTGGGCCAGAAGGGGTGGCAGAACAAGCCACAGTCCCTGGTTCCTCTTACCTTTGTGTTTGACCCTAGCTGCATATCATACTCCCTTGAAAATGCTGGCTTTGCAAAGGTACCATGGCCAGCACAGCTGCCTCTCTCAGGCTGCCCTAGTTCGCCCCAGGCAAAGGCAGGGGCAGCTTTTCTGCCAGTCACTTTTGGATGGCATTGCCTGAAGGGCATACGGCAGGTGGGTAAGGGGGCTAACAGCAGGTGTAGGAGGAAGGAGAGCGATGGCCGGTGTGGGGGAGCACAGGAGAACACAGAGGCAGGTAACAGAGTAGGAAGTTGATGCAAATGGCCAGTCCTGGAATAAAGGAGCTAAATGGCCTTGCTGAAGAGGTCAGGCTGGAGAGGTGAGAAGTAAACTCCCTCAGGCATGGGGGCTGACTCCCCCCTAGCCTAGGGGAGGGATACTTGATTCCCTCCATTTCCACCCAGACTCCACCCCGCCCCCACTCTGCTTCCTCCCCACAAGTGTACCAGTCCCCTCTCTTCTCCCACCCTCCTGCAGCATCCCAGAAACGCCACCTGCGGCCCACAGAAGGTGCTGGGAGGGCAGGGGAAGAGCAGGTCAGTGAGGCTGCTGGTGGGCGAGAGGGAATGGGGGAAAAAGAGTGCTTGGTTACCAGTGAGTGCTGAGCACCCACTATTTTTCCCCATGGGTGCTCCAGCTCCGAGCGCCCACAGAGCAAGAGTCTATGCCCTCAGCTCCTACCCAGGCCACTGCAGAAGCAGCACCCTCAGAGCGCCCAGGCATGCCCACTCCCCCCTGGGAAGGCACAGGGCTCTCTTTCTCTGCCCCCTCTGTCTCCCTCTCCACGCCACACAAGGCTCCCTGGGCAGCCGGGGCATTGACTGCAGGGCTGCCCTCCACAGCACTCACCTCAAACAAAATAAGGAAGGCGAGCCGGGCTGCGAAGACGTGCCAGAACTGAACCGAGTAGCTGTAGTCATCAGAGTTCCTGTAATCCTGGTACCTACAGGCCAACACCGGTCAGCACTGTGTGCACTGCCCATCAAATCCCATCCCCCATTGGTCACAGCCCATCTCCCTGGGCCCCCTCTCACCGTGAGTTACAGGAGTTAGTGGGAAAGGCGCCTATGAGTTCATATACTCTAGTCCTGCTCCTGCCTGGCCCTAGGGCAACTTTTTTTCAGGTTTAGATGACTCTAGTAATAGGGCTTCCTTCTCTTGACCCACTTCTCGTCCACTCATAGTTCCAGCGCTCCAGCTGGCAGAAAGCAATACTGATCCATTGATTCTGGGGGCCAAACTAGTTTACACCTGCTACGCATCTTATTGTCTGTTCTCCCACTAAGTGGGGTGGCAGAAGGGAGGCCTCTCAGGCTACCTTAAAACATGCAAATATCATCTACAAAAATATCTTGTTGCTGAAGGATATTATTGGGAGAATGTGGGACTGGATAAGGGACAAAAGTACGGAGCCCTCACTACCTGCATTTTGTGATCCCATTCATAAAATCCGGCAGCTTTTCAGGCAGCTTCATCTGCCACTCAAAGTCCTTGATATGGAACACTGAGAGGCTGTTGTTGATGTAACCTGTCAAACAGCTGCACAGGGAAAAAACAGGGTATAGGTTGAACCTCTCTGTTCCAGCATTTGCTGGTCCGACAACATCTGTGGTCCAGCATAGTTTTAGTTAGATGGGTGTCCACTTATAGATATGGCCAAGTTTCTCATGGTCCCATAAAGTTTGTTTACCAGTCCTGGCTCTCAGTGTTCTGGGCTGTTATTTAGCTCTAATTTACCCCTAAATGTCTTCTCAGATCCTAGTAAGCAGTGGAAGTGCTGGTAATGCTTCTAGACAATATTGACCTCCTGTGGGCCGGTAAATTCTCTGGCTTGGCACCAGTCAGGTCTTGAGGATGCCAGACTAGAGAGGTTCAACCTGTATTAGACAATGCCATACTAATGCCCTACTGAGGTCATCCAGACAAGGGCACCCAGGTGAGTCCCCATAACTCTCTGAGGGCTGAAGGCTCCTATGAACTTCTGAGACATGCTCAGGCCCCTGCATGAATAAGCCTACAGCTCAGGAAGCATCCCACTCCCAGAGGGCAATATAAAGGGCTGATCCTCGGTGATGCCCAGCACCCTGAATTCCCATTACACCGTGCAGGTTCCAGCACAGAGACAGGACCAGGCAGGGAATGAACAGTGAGGAGAGACTGTTGGTGAGAAGGGAGAGGGAGCAGATTCATGGGGCAGTGCTGTCTAAGAGGGATTTGAAGGAGAGGAAGAGAGGGGCTGAGAGACAGTCCCAGGCTGGGGCGCAGACTAATCCACTTTTACTGCTTGACCACACAGCCAAATATTGACTTTACATGTGAAGGATTTGGTCAGACAGCCGGAACTGGGCAGCAGAGTGAAAGAGTCCCCCGAGTGCATTCTTGCAGTGCTAATAGCCAGAGGTAGCAGCTATTCTACACAAAATGTAAGAGCTTTCCTAAGGATTTCTGTATGGGTTACTCTAATGTCCATTTCAAAAGTAGGCGTTAATTACTTTGAATAGCCAGAATGCAGAACAGCTAGTGAGCGGGTAGCTTTTTGGTAGTCATCTGAGCACAATTAGCCAGTGTTTGCATGATTTGTGATCCCACTCCTATCACCCATTCCCAGCCTCTAACAAACAGAGGCTAGGGACACCATTCCTACCCGTCCTGGCTTAATAGCCATTGATGGACCTCTCCTCCATGAATCTATTTAGTTCTTTTTTGAACCCTGTTAAAGTCCAGGCCTTCACAACATCCTCTGGCAAGGAGTTCCATGGGTTGTGTACAAAGCAGATGCCAGCTTGTCCACAGATCTGCTCTGCTCTGTGCAAATGGGAGTGGAAAATAACACTGGCTGTAGTTCTTGCTGTGCCCTCTAGAAGGCACTGCCTCACCTCCTGCCAAAACTGGCTGCTCTTTAGATCTTCTGCTGGCTTTATAGCCTTGCTAACTGTGCAGCATAGTGCATGGAGGGATACTGGGAAGAAGGTGATGCAGCCTCACTCACTACAGGGAGCTGCAGCTCCCCCAAATTCATCCCCCCATCCCGACAAGAGCCACAGCGAGCAAGAGGGAGCATAGGAGAGTGGCAGAGCACCAGCTATCCTGGCTGGGCTTTGCCGACCAGTTGCACAGGGAGAGATGGGTTTCTCCCCATTGCAGGGAGGCACACATAGAGACACAGAAAATGAGCAAGATGGCGGTGTCTCAGGCTAAGGGGACCATATTTCCCATATTCAAGCAAGTTCAACAGCAGTCACTGAGAGCTATTCAGTACAAATGTTCACATTAACATCAAGTTGACTGCTCCCGCCCTGCCAAAAAAACGGGCTCTGGGCAGCAGCAGGCTACGCCAGCACTGATGTGGGGAAGATAGAAAATATGGGACCATTTGCCTGTTTTTAAGAAAAAGTCGTGCCAACTGCAGAAGGGCTTCAAAATGGGACCGTCCCTTTAAAAAGGGGGCAGGGGACACCGAGTCCAGCTCGCTCGGGCAGAGCAGCGGGCGTTGCAGGGTGACACTTACTCAATATCAGTGCGGTTCTGCAGCACACAAGGGCTGTAGGCGTATTTGTAGACCTGCATGGGGATGAAGTCTGAGGTGATGGCGATCACCAGGCCATTGCCAATGACGGCCAAAATGCCAATCGCCTCCAGAACCTGCAGCCAGATGCCTGCGAGAAAACAGAACTCAGAGGCCTGCCCAGCGAGGCGCTCCCACCCCGGCTGGGACGCTGCTCCGGGAGCTTTGCCTTTGCCATGAATGGGAGGAGGACTGGGCTTGACCAAGCTGATCTCGGGAGTTGTGTTCTGGGTGGGGAGGGGCACAGCACGGTGGCCCAGTACAGCAGCCTTGTATCAGCCAGAACACTACAGAGATGAGCTTCCCCTGGCACTGGGCACGTTGGCTGCATAGCAACTTGAGGAAGCAAAGAGTATCTAGATCAGCGGATTTCAAACTACGGGTCATGCAATGTCAGGCTCTGGGTCTCGTTGCTGCAGAGGGATCAGGGGACCAGTGAGAGCGCTAAGGCAGCTCCCTGCCTGTCCTGGCCCCACAGACTGTGCTGCGCCCCAGAAGCAGCCAGCAGCAGGCCCAGGGCTCTGTGCACTGACCAACAGGACTCTGTGCACTGACCCTGCTCAAGGTAAGCCCCTCCTGCCTCAGCCCTGACAGCCCTAAAGCCGGAGCCGCCTCCGACACCCCAAAGCTCTCGCCCTGAGCCCCACCCTGCAGCCCACATTCCAGTCACATGACGTTGGGTCCTGGGCATCAACACTTTTCTTCAACTGAGTCATAAAGAAAAAAAAAGTTTGAAACCCCCGGCTCTAGATTCTAAGCAGGCCTCTAGCAGTGTGCTTCCGTCCTGACTTACAGCCCCCCCTACAGTCCCAGTCTTGCCCCCTCTGTCTCTAACTGCCCTGGCAGAGCCACAACAGGAGCACCAGGAGTTAGGGCGAGAGACCATGACAATAGTTCATGGCGTTGTTAAGTCTTGGGGCAAGATGAGCCCAGCCTCTCCCCTGACCCCCACTGGTGAGCCCATGACCTTCAGGGGAAGCCCCTTCCCTTGGCACCAGCTCACCGATGTCATTGGCTCTCCGAGGCACCATGCGCCTCTGCAGCCACACCATCTTGTAGTTGTCCAGCGGGATCTCAATGCAGTTGTTGAAGAAGGCCAGGAGCGGGGCGAGGGGGAAGGCAGCCACAAAGATGGTGGTGAAGCTGTATTGGATCACTGAGAAGAGGACAAGGCACAGGTCCCATGAGTCCCAAGTCCTTACGGTGTGAACTACGCCTGAACGGCCAGGCAGCATGAGAGGGTGAGACACCTCCCCCTCCCCTTCCAAATGATCTGCTTGCTTCCTGGCTCTAGCAATGGAGGGGAGACGGGGGGAGGGTGGGAGATCAGGGAGGTCACACCTGTTCCCCAAAGTGTAGATTGGCAGGAGGGGGGAAGAGTAGCTGCCAATGGTCACAGCCAGTACCCAACTGCCAGAAGCAAGGGCAGGGCAGGAAAGCAATTGGCCACAAATCCTTCCAAGGCCTCTTCCTGGGGTGGGGGAGCTACATGCCAGGGGCAAGATATGTGCGAGTGACCCCTGGCAGGTGTTTGCTGAATCTGCCCAGTCTGTGCCCGTTGTGGGAATCACAGGTGGGGGAAAGGCTTTGCCTTCTGAACCCACCAGGAAGGGCCCCGCCCACACTCCACCCCCAGAACGCCTGCTGTAGGCATACTGGGGGGGAGTGTTGCTGCCCCTGAGTGCCCGGCCTCCCCAGTGCTCCAGGGTCAGGGAGGCTGGGGCTGCATGGTGCTGGGGAGGAGGAGCCTGGGCAGAAGGGGTGGGGTTGGGGGCAGGGCTGGGGGCGTGGCTCCCATGCCCGTGGCTTCCTGGGCTCTGCAGTCTCAGTGTAGGGATGTGCTGCCAACTGGCTGAGCTGCAGGGCTGGTTCCTTCACACCTTCCCTTCAACAGGGCCTGTGGCCTCGCCAAACTCAACCGTGTTCCACAACCCAGAGGTGCAGACACAGGGCCGGCCTGTCCCCACTTGCAGGGACATGAATGGGCATTTGGTGTTACCGCGCTGTCCCGGGTTGGGCCGTTTCTCCCTCAGGAACCCCAGGTCCCTGCTGCCCACAAGTTACGCCCGTGACCCCCGTGCGCTACATACTCATTTCCAAGAACTCATCGAACAAGCTGAAGATGTTGACGTCGTTGAGTTGATAGTTCCTGAGCCACTCCTCCTTGCAGGGGTCCTGCTGTTCTTCCTCGCCGTTGCTCTTTGGGCTGGCACAGCACATTCGGAACTTGAGCATTACCCAGCTGCAGGAATAGACAACAACACAGTTCTTTCTCTAAATACTGAATATAGGTTGAACCTGTCTAGTCCAGCACCCTTGGGACCTGACCAGTTCTGAACGAGAGAATTCTCTGGACCACAGGAGGTTAATGTTGTCTAGCAGCTTACTTCTACTGCTTCCTGGGCCAGCAGAGGACATCTGGGGGTAAATTAGAGCTAAATAACAGCACAGAACACTGAGAGCCAGGACTGGGGGCTGTAAACAAATTTTATGGGACCTCAGAAAACTTGGCCGTACCCCTGATAAGTGGACATCTGGCTAAAATCATGCTGGATGACAGATGTTTCCAGACAAGAGAGTTCTGGATTAGAGAGGTTCAACCAGTAGTCATGTAACTGCATGAAATATTAGCGGTTACAAGACTATTCTTAGCAGTGGGTGAAGGTAGGGTTGGGGAAGCCAAGCCCCCAACCCTGCCCCTTTTGCCCAGGCTCCTCCTCCCCAGCACCATGCGGCCCCAGCCTCCCTGTCCCTGAAGTACTGGGGAGGCCGGGCACTCAGGGGCAGCAACCTCTACCCCCAGTATGCCTACAGCAGGCATTCTGGGGGCAGAGTGTGGGTGGGGCCCTGCCTGGTGGGTTTGGAAGGCAAAGCCTATTGGAGGTGGGGCTGGCAGCCAGGGCAGGCGCCCCCTGGGGAGCGCCCTGTCACCCTGCGCTGCTGCCTCTGTATCAGAGGCAGCAGCATGGGGTGGCAGTCGGTAGCTGGTCTCTGAAAGGAGCTGGTTTGAGAGGTAGCTGCACTGGGTGGCAGCAGTCTCTGTCCGCGGGGAGTCTGAGCTCCCCATGGACAGAGGCTGTTGCCAAAGAGCAGCCTCTGGCTGCCGACAGAGACAGCAGCATCAGGCGGGAGGAGAGGGCAGGTGGCACTGGGGAGCTGGTGTTGGGGGGAACCAGCTTTTAAGCTGGCTCCCCCTCAGCACCGGCTCCTGACTGCTCCCCACTGTAGGAGGCAGCAAGGTGAAAGAGGTGGGTCTGCGGGAGCCAATACATGTGGGGAGCTGGCTTGAAAATCAGTTCCAGTGATTCAGAAAGACTTGCTGGGCTCCTGGGCAAAGGGGGAGCCCCTGGAAGGGGTGGGGCCTGAGGCAGAAGGCGCAGAGCTGAGTAGCTTCCCCCGCCAGCTCCTCAGGGGTGCCCAGAGTGCACCGTGTGGAACCCCAACAACGATTTAAAGGGCCCGGAGCTCTGGCCGCTGTTGCTGCTGCAGTAGGGGTGGCAGTAGCCAGGAGCCGTGGGTCCTTTTCAATTGCCAGGCCCCATGACAGCTGCCACCCCATAAGTCGGTGGCCCTGGTCAGTTCTGTTGTAAGGTCTAACATAGACATTCCCCTCCCCCTCTCAAACACAGCTCCGTTTGCTAGTGCTACTCAGGGAATTCTTACCAACAGCAGACAGTAGTTTCCATCTACAAGACGGCCCAATAGCGGTAGTGTCTCTATGGCCTATCAGTCTTCTAACACTGACAATCACACACTCGTGTGTAGTCCCACTAGAGTCAACAGGGCTACTTTGGAGTAACTGGTCCCCAAGATGAGCAAAGTCAGGGCCTAACCATACAAGAGGTGGCTAGCCTACACAACAGCAAGCTAGCAGGGCCTTCCCAGATGTCAAAGACAATTATTTCACTTTTCAAACTAGAGTGAATTTTTTGTTAAGCCTGTAGCCACATCCCCCCAAAAAAACCAAACCCACAGGTGCCAGTTAGAGCTAGGCCAAGCTGTTCAGGGGAATAACTTGTTCAGTGACTTCAGCCCTGTTTCTGTCTGACTTGTCCAGGAGCAATTTATTTATTGGATTTATTTGTTCTTTCCTCGAATCATTTTTAGGATGAAATCTAAGCTGAACTCTGTGTGCGGTCCTTACAGTCCATTGTTTTGTATTCGGATGGACTGTTCTGGTTTTGTTGTTCCTCACAGTGTTGTTTGGTATTGTTCCCGTCCCCTGACCAGATCTACCTTTTATCTTGAAGAGAATTTGCTGACAGAACTTATGTCAGTAACAGGCCGTACATTTGCCTTCCCCAGACGTTGCCTGGGGGAATGCCAGCTAGAGCTTGTAATAAGAGACGATTCATTTCACAAGCAGGAATACACAGCTCCGACCTGGGAGCACATCCTGCTGGCATGAGTGGCCTACGGCACGTGGACTTACGGGGAGAGATACTCCACGAAGTTACTCAGGGTCTGCTTCAGGCCCATTATGATGACCATCTGGATAAAGAGATCGGTGATGCAGCCGCTGGGATGGCACTGCAAAGAGAAGAGAGAGTGGTGCCGTGCAGAACAATGGGCTGGCGTCGGGACAAAGGGCTGAGTGCTAGAGGCATGGTCCAAGAAGAACCTGGAGTGATGGAAGGGCTATTCTGAGTGAAAGGAAGCAATGCTTTTAACCAAGGCAGTACCAGGAAGTGGGGTGGGAAAGGTGCAGAGAGAGGTTACAGGAAACAGCAGTGGGGCATTAGTACACAGTGGACATATCACTTACCTCTTCCAGCCTCCACTTGCCAGCTACACGCACATAGTTCCCAGGACGGCCATTAATCCTGACCAGGAGAGGGCAGAGTTAAGTAGGTCTGAAGCTGGTGCTCCCAGATGCTCCCTCTGTAAGCAGGGAACTGGGAGGACTCCTCAGGGGGCAGACACACCAAAAGGAGTGAAAAGTAGTATGCGGAGACTGAAAGAGAGGGAGTGAGGGCCAAACACAAGCAGAACCAAGTGCCCCAACCCAGCAAGCAAGGGACAGGCAGAAACCAAGACAGATAAGCTGAAAAAGATGGCGAACTACACCCCCTCCCGAAAAAACATGGGTGAAATCCTGGCTCTGTTGGAATCAATGGCAAAATTCCCAGCGACTTCCTGGGGGCCAAGTTTTCATCCCAAAAGTCAGGCTGCAGGGGCTTTCTCTCACTCATGAGATTTCTTTATCCTTCCCAAGGGAGCAGACAAGCTCTTCTCCCAGCAACCAGTGGTTAGAAGCCTGGGGCAAGCTTGACTGGGTTTAGGGGCTCCCCTAGGGTGACTGGCTTTGGCTGTGCGTGTCAGTATTAATGCAGACCTCTGGCTGGGGTGAATGCGCCCAGCTCCTTCTGTGCTGAATGACACCAGCTGGAGACTGGGCCGGGCGCAGCCGCGCTCACCTTCCCAGGAAGAAGGCGACGTAGATCAATGAGGAGAAGTAGGTGAAGAACTGGAAGGTGAAGAATTTCACAGTGAAGATCTTCTCGCGCTCGCAGAATGTCCGCGGCTCCTCTGGAAACGGAAACACAGGGAAGTGGGTTAGTCCTGGTAGTGGGAGCCCCGTTCCTTCCTGGACAGGCTCCTTCAGCCCATCATGCTTCCATTCCAAAGCACTCCGTCCTTTTACTGCCCTGAACACAGTTCCTTGGAATGTGTAGCCCGGGTTCGAGTAAACCTCGGCAATCCAGGATGTACACAGCAATCCATGCACTTGTGTGGCCTCTGTTCTATGACAACTGCATAGCTAGAGTTGATGTTCCTTACATCAATTTTCTGGGGCAGCCCCACAGCGGGAGGTCAACAGGAGAAATGCTCCAGTTGACTTCCCTTATTCCCTGTGACTGTGAGTAGTACCACGATCAAGGGGGGCACCATCAGCGTTCGATTTAGCAGGTCTTTACTAGACCTGCTAAATCGAAAACCAGAAGATTGATTGGCGGAGTGTCACTACTTCGTGGCAGTAAAGACAGGCCTGTTGGTGCCATCCAACATGCTGACTGGATTGCTGGCTATCTGCCAGACTTAACTCTCCTTACGGGAGCCTTGGTAGCAACAGAGATCAGAATTGGGGCTGGAGCAGAGTCCCTCCTTTTAACCATCTGAAGCTAGTGCCCCAGTGGAAAACTTTTAACTCTGGAATTGCTTCCAGCCCACTGTGCTCATTAGAGCTCTGTGCAGGTTCATTCCGTTGGCCTGGGCCACACAGAAGACCCAGGCACAGAGCGAGCCCTTTTCGTGCTCTGCCGCCAATGTTCAGGAGGACTCCAGTTGGCTGCGCTGGAGGATGCTAGAGGCAGGGGGCAAACCATCTCAGCTTTGCCTTACCTAGGTCACAGAGTAAGAGCGCCACACGCCTGTTCACCTGCAATTGAGGAGAGACAGGGAGGGAGGGTGAAAGGAGAGAAGGGACTGGAAGGGTGTTTGATGGCAGGGAGCAAGGAGGGCCCCAGTCCTGTCGTGCTTTGTACCTTGGTCATGATGACAATGGTGACGTAATGCAGCACGGCCCCCGTCACCACCGCCAGGGTGTCGGCCCGCTCTCGGAGGAACTCGGAGTCACTCTTGGTGAAGATGACCGTGGCCATCACTCGGTAGATGACAAGCGCGTGGGCGATGCCAATGAGCACGGCGATCTGGGAGGACAGCAGGTTGGGGATTAGAGACAGGAGGAGCTGGGGGTGGGGAGCAGGCAGCAAAGGCAGAGGGGGAAACTGAGCCAACTGGGGTGCGTGTGGGGAACAACAGACCGCAATGTGGCCAGGTGAAGAGAGGTTCTGGATGCTCAACTGCTGCTGGTTGAGATCCAGGCCCATGCACGGCCTGCAGAGCAGAACACCTGTGCCCAGCACAGTTCCTAGCAGGGAGGTGGGTAAATACAGACACACTGGCCAGGAGCGTGCATGTGGGGTTGGGGGGGCAGGGGGAGGCAAGTAAAGTCTGATTCTCATTGTTAACGTCGCCATCAGGGCCACATTATGACTTTCGTGGGCCATAGGCACTTTTGCCTTCATGGGCCCCATCCTCCATTAAAAAAAAATGTTCAAAATTATTTTTGATATAACTTTAAATACTTCAACATTTCATTTTTTTTCTGTTTTAGGCAAAACGTAATAGATTTTCGTGGGCCCTAAAAGTTTCATTTTTTTCTGACGTGAGAAAAAAATAAAACATTTTCTTCGACCCTAAAAGTTCATTTTTTTTCTTCTGATTTTAAAAGAACTTAAAATGTTTTTGTGGGCCCCTAAAAGTATCCTGGGCCCTAGGCACTGTGCCTACTGTGCCTAATGGATACGTTGGCCCTGGCCACCGTCTCTCATGAGCAGAGTAATCATCAGTTACTCATCCTGCCCCTGCTGACCCCCTGCCCCCATGTACAGTTTGCACATGGGGAGAGTCAGGCAGTTGGCACGGGCCAGTGAGTTTTCAGGAAAGAAACTGGCCTTTTCCACGCAAACAGCTGCCTCCCTGCTGTGTCTGTGGGAGCGTAGTGCCCAAGTGTCAGCCCTGCAGCCTGACTCCCCCCTCCCCTGCCCAACACATCTGTCCAAAGAAAAGGCGGAGGATGTCCAGCAGCAATTCATGTTTCCAGCACAGTCAGGCAGTTGGCACGGGCCAGTGAGTTTTCAGGAAAGAAACTGGCCTTTTCCACGCAAACAGCTGCCTCCCTGCTGTGTCTGTGGGAGCGTAGTGCCCAAGTGTCAGCCCTGCAGCCTGACTCCCCCCTCCCCTGCCCAACACATCTGTCCAAAGAAAAGGCGGAGGATGTCCAGCAGCAATTCATGTTTCCAGCACAGGGACAGCCCTGCAGACGGGCTTTACTAGGGTGACAACATTTCTCTATGATGAATACAGGACACCTGGTAAAATGGCCCATATTCCTGCCCGTTCAATGGCAGTCAATCAGAACTGTGCAGTACAAATGTTCAAGCTAACATTAAGGTGACCGAGACCCCGTCCCCCCAGAAAAGAAATACTGCATAATTGGATTTTTGTAATTGCCTTTTTGTCTTTAAGGCTTTAGGATTTGCACAAGAAAGGGTGACACACAACACTCCCTCTACACACACACACTCATGGGGAAGCGTGACACACACTCCCATGCACTCTCTCACATGGGTGGGAGGGGCAAAGGAGGTGACCATCCAACCGGCCCAAACCTCCCTTCTAACGCTCTCTATTCTCCATTCCTGGCTGGGCCCCTGAGACAAACCTGCCTCTCCTGATAACTGGTGCCGCGTCTTCCTGAGGCCACAGGTGGATGGGCACAAGGGGTGCCCTCTCCCCCCAGATTTCTGCCGAGGTTCACACCAGAATGGGGCCAGCAGCAGCCTTTTGGCACTGTGTGGGAGGATGGGACGGGAGCTGCTTCCAGTCACGGGGAGGAGGGAGAAGGAAAGGGTGACCTGGCCCATGTTTTTGCAGATCTCAGCTCTTCTTCTCTCCTGCCCCTGCCTCTTCTCCTCCCCACAGCTGAAAGAAGTAGCTTGTTCTTTCCTGCCCACGTGGTGTCAAAAGGCAGCTGACCCCTCCAGGCTACTGCTAGCCACCAACAAAACCCATCCGCCTTCTTTCCCTGCAGGCTACAGCGTGGGCAGGAAGGGGTTAAGCATGAAGGATACACTGTGCACCGGGGCCCAAGGAACCAGACTGCAGGGGCTTCCGCAAACCCAACCAGAGAGGGGGCTCAGCAGGGGACAGGGTAGCCCCTTGCTCATCCCTGGGGGCAGGACTGGGATGGGGGTAGAAAGGGTGCTAAGGCCCTGCCATGGGGGCTGTTGTGGAACCTGCAGGTTTGGGGTGTGAACAGGCTGGGAAAAAAATCGCTCTCCCCTCCCCCCCCCCAACCCCACCACTCCAGAGCTTAGCTAAAGGGTGGAGAGGCTTCCCCGTGCCAGCCCTTTGCAGGGCTTTGGCCCAGGCAGGTCTCAGCACCTCCTGGCCAGCGCCTCGAGCCAGAGGGCCTTGGGCTTTCCCAGGGTGCCTGCCCAGCCAGAGGCAGTGGGGGGAGGAAGGAGCCAGCTGGCCATACAGCTGCTGAGCCGAGCGCTCCGACAGGGGCTGGTTCTCCACATAGCGCTGGGAGTGGCACAAGCCCTGCCGGTGGGGATAGGGAGGGACAGCAGAGCTAGGGAGCGAAGGGGCAAAGCAGGGAGAGGACCAAGAGAAAAGGGCTAATGGGTAGGCAGCAGAGGCCACACATAACTGTCTACGGCCTGGCATTTGCACCAGCCACCGCAGCCAAAACAGGACAGGGGGCAGGGCCCTGCTGGCTGAGAGCTGGCATGCAGCGGGGGCTGTGCTGATGGACCAGCAGGGGGAGGGGCCAGCCCTGTGCACTGCATCTCCTCCCTCCCCCAACCCCGTCATCAGCCCCAGAATGCCCACCCCCATCATCAGCCACTGGACCTCCTCACTCACTGCTGGTGGGAGGAGGGGATGGTGAGCAGGGAGCTGGCAGCATACACCAAAACTGATGTGGGGGAGATGGAAAATACGGGACAATTTGCCTGTTTTTAAGAAAAAGTCGGGACAGCTGCAGAAAGGCTTAAAAATGGGACTGTCCCTTTAAATATGGGTGATCTGGTTACCCTAGACTTTACTCCCCTGTAGTAGAGACTAGGGGTGCTCGGTCCCCAGGCTCACTCAATACATGTCCACTCTGAAGCTAGGCCAGTTAATGCAGATTCATTGGGGGAAGGGGCGTGTTTAGGAACCAGACTGAGCTCACCGCACTGGCCACCAAGCAGCAACACAATGGCGATGGCTTGAAATCTCCACCGTTCTGGGCCAGAATCCACGTGGCCTCTGATGAAAGGCTCCACAGGCCACCCACAGACCCTAGGTTATGCAGTCCCCTGTCCGCCATCATGCCCCTTTCTGTTTCATTCACTCCACCGACACCCAAATGCCGATAGCTCAGGGTTGTAGAAACCCACACATGGTCAGAGGTGTCCGGGACAACCGAGAGCGCACGTACCATGAGCAGGACTAAGAGAAGCACGGCAGTGCTGCCAGCATAAGAGTGCTGGTACTTCCTGAGCTTGTAGTTGGGGTCGTTGATCAGCTGCAAGGCTAGCTCTTCCTGGGAATGAGGGAGAAAGAGCATGCATCAGAGCTGTACACCAGGGAAAGTGAACCAAGGGGCAGTATATTGCTTTGCATGGGATGAACATATGAGATAGAAGCCTGGGATGAATATGGCATGCTCTGGCAGAGCAGAATAGGAACAGGACTTGTAGAGCGGAGTGGGGAACCTTTTTTGGGTCACGGGGCTGCTGACCCATAGAAACATTGGTCAGGGGCTGCACACAAGTAAGGAGCAAAACAAACAAAAAAGCCCCTCCAAACTCCCACTAACGTGGGCCGGAGGTCACTTGCAGGTATAAACTAGCATCAGTGGTGCATTGTCTGTAACTCGAAGTCTTTAAACCATTATTTGAGGGCTTCAGTACAGGTTGAACCTCTCTAATCCAGCCCTTTCTGGTCTGGCAACATCTGTGGTCCGGCAGGATTTTAATTAGCCAGGTGTTATCACAGGTGTGACCAAGTTTCCTGTGGTTCCATAAAGTTTGTTGACAGCCACCAATACTGGCTCTCAGCATTCTGTGCTGTTATCTAGCTCTAATTTACCCCTAAATGGCTCAAAGAGCCCAATAAGCAGTGGAAGTGCTGGTCATGCTGATAGACCTCCCGTGGTCCGGCAAATTTTATGGTTCAGCCGAGGGTGCCGGACTAGAGAGGTTCAACCTGTAACTGAGCCAGAGGTTAGGGGTCTATGACAGGAGTGGGTGGGTAGGTGAGGTTCTGAGGCCTGCAACACACAGATCGGACTAGATGATCACGGTTTTGCCTTCTGGCCTTAAAGTCTATAAAGAGGGTGACAGTGCAAAGAAGAGACTTATTCTCACCTCATCATCATCCCACCGGTACAGTTCCCAGCCACTGACCACCTTCGCTCTTTTCCTCTTCCACAGCTCTAGAAACACGGTGGCTGTAGGTGAAACAGCATGGTCAGAGCAGCAGAGACCCTTCTGCCCCATGAAGACACCCACTTAGCAACGGAATCACAGGAGCACAAGTCTTTTCTGCAGGCCAGGGCGGGGAAGGGCTGCTTAGCATCCAGGTTCTCGTCCAAGAGGGAGGGCAGTCGCCTGGAACCCTCTGCAGAAAAGCCCTCCAAACAGAGGGTGTGTATTGCTGGGAGTCCTGGGGACAATCCAGGATGAGGAGCCCAGCTGGTCTGAATGCACTTCCAGGACTTGGTGGCCAGTCTGTAGTAGCCAGTGTTGAGAGATGCCTATCCCCAGCTTCACGGGCTGCCCCTCCCCTCTGTTCTGGGGCATATTTCTCATATCTTTGCTGTGTGAGCTGCTAGCAGAGCGTTGGGCCAGATCCTGTGCCAGGCTTTGCAGGAGAGAGGGAAGGCGTGGAGATCCAAGTGTGGCTTAATGCCAGAATTTGGGGCTGGAGGCCCACCCGGCCCCTGTATAGCTCGGGGTAGCCCCAGGGACAGCTGACTTCAGGCAGTCTCCACTTCTCCAACCCCGATTGCCCAGCTAGACCTTGAGGCTATCAGTTAGCGCAAGCCATGGCGATGCTTTTATAAGGCGTATGCTGGTCACCTCAGAGCTGAAAGGGAACCAGGTTAGATACCCAGATGCGTACAGAGAAAACCCATAGGGAGATGGGCCACCAAACTCAATTCACAATAGGCCATGGGGGCAGACACCAGGGGGGGAAATGTCCAGAACTGGATTTGAACCAATGATCTAAAGTGACAAAGTACCCAAACCCATCCCCAAATTCATGAAACTTCACCAACCCTCCCCCCTTCCCAAGCTGCCCAACCCCACTCCTCCCCTTGGTAAATTACACCACTCTGCCAGGCAGAGAGGGAGTAGGTCGGTTCTGAATCAACAGCCTTGGATCCTGTTTGTCATCAGGCTGCAGCTGGCAGGCCCTTTCATAGGTCCTGGAACTAGGGATGCAGGGGGTGCTGCAGCATCCCCTGACGTGAAGTGGTTTCTATTGTCTTTACAGTTTGGTTCAATAGTTCTCAGCACTCCCTGTTATAAAAATTGTCCCCTGAGCCCTTTCCTGCTTCAAGGCCTCATGCTCAGCACACAGAGACAGAAACCTACCCCAGAGAGCCATGTACACGGCAAAGAAAACCGTCCCCTCGTTGTCAAACAGGTGCGTGACCTGGAAAAGGAGAGACAGAGACAGGGATGACACAACTCTGGCTGGTGCGGATGGATGAAGCCCCTGGGGTTCTGCAAGGACCATGGAAAAGGCACTGGGAGAGCAGGGAGAGCAGCTCCATGGCACTTAAGAGAAACCAGAAGTTCTTAGGACTCCACCCAGGGCCTGGGAAGTCCCTACCCCACAGGCAAGACACCAGAGCTGGACACAATTCTCTTGCAAGATCTCCCTGCAGCCACCTTCAGTAACTGACTCATTTCCTGGAGGAAAGGTATTCATAGAATTGTAGGACTAGAAGGACCCTTGAGAGGTCTTCTAGCCCAGTCCCCTGCATTCATGACAGCACCAATCACTGTCTAGACCAGTGGTTTCCAAACTTTTCAGCATCACGCCCGCCCCCTAAAAAAAATAGCAGCAAAACTTAGGGTGGGATTGACGGGGGGGGGGGGGGGGGCATTTCCTGGAGGAAAGGTATTCATAGAATTGTAGGACTAGAAGGACCCTTGAGAGGTCTTCTAGCCCAGTCCCCTGCATTCATGACAGCACCAATCACTGTCTAGACCAGTGGTTTCCAAACTTTTCAGCATCACGCCCGCCCCCTAAAAAAAATAGCAGCAAAACTTAGGGTGGGATTGACGGGGGGGGGGGGGGGGG